AACGCTACAAGAAATGCAAAAAATTAGAGCAAGAAAAGAGAAACATTGCGTAGTGAGTTTCTTGGAAATCAAAAAACGACTGCTTTTTGTATTTCAGTCAAAAGTGATAACTCTGAACAGTATTTTGTGAAGTTTGTCCGTATCAAAAAAAAACTTCAAAGTGGTACCTATCATATGAAAAAAAATTCAGTTGATTAAGCCTGATGAATAGTGAAGCTATTCAAATTTACTTTGACGCCAGACTTTTGGGACACCCTATACGTACATCGCCCTACCAGTTCGGGATGATCCATTCTGCTAGTATCCTTTCAGATTTCGGAAGTCTCCCTAGTCACGCGCGCGTACGCGAAAAATGAGTCGAGTAATGTGAATAGTAATGCAATGAAATTTATTGAAGCAATCGAAAAAAATCTACAGCTCCTTTTGAAGTTTTTCATATGTTTCTTTATATTCCACAAGATGAGGATGAGTTGAAGGTAATTTTTCTTGAGCGATTTCTATCGCTTGTTGAACATTTTTCATTGCCATATTATATTGTCGAGTAGATAAATATAATTTTGCCATATTATGAAAGACTACAGCTAAATCAGGATGACTTTTTGGTAGTTTCCTTTCTCGTATTTCTAATCCTTTTTGAAAATATGACAATGCTGTAGAATAATCTTCCATTTCACGATAAGTTTCACCTAAATTTGTATATGTCGTTGCACATTGAAGAGGATTACATTGAACATTTTCTTGAATATTTAATGCTTTCTGATGGAATGTAAGTGCCTTTTGATAATCACCCATTAATCGATGAACATCACCAAGAGCATTGTACCCAACAGCCTTGTCGGGATGGTTTTCAGGTAATGTTTGCTGTAGTATTGTGACACTTTTTTCAAGATTCAATAGTGCCTTGGAGTAATCTTTCATACTACGATACACACCTCCAAACAAACTATATGTAGAAGCAAAAGCTCTATTACCTTCTTGAAAAGTCTTTTGTTGAATTTCCAAAGCATTTTGAACAGCCTTAAGAGCTGCTTGATAATCACCAATGCAATTATACACCGTGCCGATATTTTTGTAGGAAGTCACCAAATCGGGATGATTTGGAGACAGAGCTGTTTCCCAGATTTTATGAGCTTTTTCGAAAAATTCAAGTGCTTTCGTGTAATCAAGCATGTTATAATACACTTGGCCGATGTTGTTGTAGGAAGTAGCCAAATTGGGATGATTCGAAGGCAGAGCTATTTTCCAAATTTGATGTGTTTTTTCGTAAAATTCTAGTGCTTTCGAGTAGTCATCCATTTTGTAATACATTCTACCATTGATGTAGTAGGAAAGAGCCAAATCGGGATGATTAGAAGAGAGAACTATTTCTTTGATTTTATGTGCTTTTTCGTAAAACTCCAGTGCTTTCGAGTAATTATCCATGTTGTCATACACTTGACCGATGTTGCAGTAAGAAGTAGCTAAATCTGGATGATTTGGAGGCAAAGCCGTTTCCCAGATTTTATGAGCTTTTTCGAAAAATTCAAGTGCTTTTGAGTGATCACTCATATTGCCATACACTCCAGCGATGTTGTTGTAGGAAAGAGCCAAATCGGGATGATTAGGAGGCAGAGCTGTTTCCCAGATTTGATGTGCCTTTTCAAAAAATTCAATTGCTTTCAGGTAGTTACCCCTATTGTAATACACTGCACCGATATTGTTGTAGGAAGTAGCCAAATCGGGATGATTCGAAGGCAGACCTGTTTCCCAAATTTGATGAGCTTTTCCGTAAAACTCAAGTGCTTTCGAGTGGTCATCCATGTTGTAATACATTCTACCATTGTTGTAGTAGGAAAGAGCCAAATCGGGATGATTAGAAGAGAGAGCTATTTCTTTGATTTTATGTCCTTTTTCGTAAAACTCAAGTGCTTTCGAGTAGTCATCCATGTTGTCATACACTTGACCGATGTTGCAGTAAGAAGTAGCTAAATCGGGATGGTTTGGAGACAGAGCTGTTTTCCAGATTGTATGAGCTTTTTCAAAAAATTCAAGTGCTTTTATGTAATCGCGCATGTTGTAATACACTCCACCAATGTTGTTGTAGGAAAGAGCCAAGTCGAGATGATTACAAGGCAGAGCTATTTCTTTGATCTTATGTGCTTTTCTCAAAAATTCAAGTGATGTTGAATAGTTACCTCTGTTGTAATACACGGCACCAATGTTGTTGTAGGAAGTAGCCAAATCGAGATGATTAGAAGGCAGTGTTGTTTCTGTGATTTTATGTGCCTTTTCGTAAAACTCAAGTGCTTTCGAGTAGTCATTCATGTTGTAATATACTTGAGCGATGTTACTGCAGGAAGTAGCCAAATCGAGATGATTAGAAGGCAGAACTATTTCTTTGATTTTAAGCGCTTTTTCGAAAAATTGAAGTGCTTTCGAGTAGTGATTCGTATTGTAATTCATTACACCGATGTTGTGGTAGAAAATAGCCAATGAGGGATGATTCTGAGGCAGAGTTGTTTCCCAGATTTGTTGTGCTTTTTCGAAGAATTCAGTTGCTTTTGAGAAGTCACCCATCTTGTGATACATTCCAGCGATGTTGTTGTAGGAAAGAGCCAAATCTGGATGATTAGAAGGCAGAGTCATTTCCCAGATTTTATATGCTTTTTCGTAGAATTCAAGTGCTTTCGGATAGTTATTCATGTCGTGATGCATTCCAGCGATATTGCTGTAGGAAGCAGCCAAACCGGATTGATTTACATGCAAAGTTTTTTCTATACTTTTATGTGCTGTTTCATAAAATTCAAATGCTTTCGAAAAGTCACCCATTTTTTTATATGCCAGACTAATGCCGATGTAAACAGGGGATAATGGAAGATGGTGTTCTGAGGGACTTTTTGGACGGATTTCGAGGGATTTTTCGTAAAAGGAAAGTGCTTCTTCGTATTTTTGCTGGTTGTATTTCACAATTCCAAGGTGGTAGTAGATATCTGCTCTAGTACAGTCATTGGATTTCGGTTGAAGAAGTGCAATATACAACTCTTCGGCCTTTTCGAATTGACCTATTCTGAGTAGCAATGGACACAATCGTGTCCAACCTGTCCGACCTGAAGCTTCTTCTCGTATATTTTCTGTGAGTTGACGCAGTTGTTGGTCGTCATCTGATGTAAGTATAAGATCCACTTGATAAAATGAACTGTTGTTGTTAACTTGTCGAATGTCATCAATACGAAAAATCGTGTGCATCGAGAAGACAATTTCATCTTCATCCTTGAAAGAACTGTCCTCGTCAATGGAGGCAAATGGAGTCGATGAAATGTTGGGATCTATGATCATACAAAAAAGAATACCAACCTTATGGGATCCTTCTATTGCTGCTTCGACGAAAATGAGGGCGACATCTCGATCTTTACTGGTGGATAAAAAGTTGTTGAAAGACATAAGTCCGCCTTTGTTTTTCTGGAGTTTGTCGAAGTCAACTCTGGATAACGCTTGTCCTCGAAAAACTTGAAACGTCTTCCCTTCATAACAGCTGACCTGTTGTTTGTACAAACTTTCGATTTGTCGATGGAGATCGCAAATGAAAAAACCCATTTTCATAATCGCTCCAATTTCAAGCGTTCGAAGCGACCGGTTGATCGTGTCGTAGAAGAAATAGTCGCGACTGTACCACCAAATCGATTTTTGTGCACAATAATCACGCTCAAAGTCAGCGATTACCTTCAGTTTACGAGTATGATTGAAATATTCGTTACGCCAAAATTGGATAAAATCTTCCTTGGCTTGTTGACCATACTGCATATCAAAGAGAATTTCCGTAAGTAACTGAGTGTACATAAATGAAGGTTCTAGTTGATCGAGATTTTGATTGAAACTATTCTGAGTCGTACTAACAAAGCTTACAGAAATGTCATTTTGAATGAATTGTTTGTTGGCCACTTTCAGTGCGTCGCAGACGGACGTGATTTTCGTATATACACCTTTCATTTTTTTCCAATTGTTGTACCAGTCTTCATGTGAAACTTTGCTGCTACAATAGATGCAAATGCTATCCAGTTCAGGAATATCATGGATGAGAGGTACCATTTGTTGACCCATAATATCTGATACAATGAGAAATACCTTTCGGTCATCAACTTCCGTGAGGAAGTCAATGCATTCATCACGCTGTGTGAAAATGTAGACGTCGTTGGCTACGTTTTGTAGTTGTGCGAGTGCATTTTTGCAACCTTCATTTGTTGGGTCCATGTTTTCATCGACCCAGAGGACCAAATAATTTTCAACTATGTGCCTTCTACGTTGCATAGCTGTCGATGATGCTGATCCATTTGTTGCAGCAGCCATTGTTGTGTTGAAATTATTTTGTTTCCATTGATGTTCATGCATATTGGTTAGTTTTGCCGTTTATTCAGTAATCGAGAATGATGATTAATAGTTTGCCGTTCACACAGAGATCTTTATTTTTATACAGTGATTGCCGTCTGTTTTTTTTCTATGACATCAAATGTGGGTGTTTTTTTTTGTTAACACTCAAGGACGAACTCTATTTTGTTTGAATTGAAATATCATTGTCAAGAACCTACAAAAAAGAGAAAAAATTCGACATCACCATTTGTCCTCTCGCTACGCTTTTCAAATTTTATTTGAATTGTTGCTGTACGATAAGTCAAGTTTTATCATGTTAGATACCTCGCCTAGCGTCCTACGAGAATAATTTTTCTCGACTCCCGTTTCCCACTAACGGAAAAACATCTTTTTTCCCATTCTCGCGTTCTCATTCCCGTAAAAAATGTTGTTCTCGTTCCTGTAAAAAAATACGTTCTGGTTCCCTTAAAAAAAATGTGTTCCCATAGAAGAAATTGTGCTCCCATTCTATAAGGCTTTCAGAATTCCTATTAGGATTTGAGTTTTCGCGGTTAAAAAAAAACTTACACTACCTGATACTAGCTTCTCACGCTGTCATATTTTTCACAACATAACATGTATAGATTAATAATGGATTTTGAATTGGAGGTCCATCAAAAGAGTAACCAGCGGAATGTTGGAATTGTATGAATTCTCCTTGGCATCTTACGCAATGTTGTAAAATTCTATAGAATTCTGATTTTCAAATTTTCTTGGATTCTGTAGAAACTCCGTTAATTCCAGAATTCCCGGATTTCACTCTTTACCGGTCGCGTTCTTCTAACAGATGATCCCTAGTCTCAATCATATTCGCTCCTTGAGAAGTCCTAGAAAGATTTGTCCGCATCCTAGGATCAAGGATCTTGTCAAGTTTTCGTCAGACTTCTGTCTCAGATCCTGCTAATTCTTATTTCCAGAATTTTTTTAGGGTTAGATAAAATCCTGTTCAGGCTTTATTCAGATTCAAGTCCAAATCATTTTCTAAATTATAAATGGAGAATCCTACTGAGACTCACATTCGATTCTACTTAGGATCCTCACTGGAATAATAGATAGGATTATATCAAGATTTTATCAAACTTTAGTCAGGGTATGGTCCGGATCCTGACCCTACGATTTGATTATGTATTTTAGTGAAATTAGACGAGGATCATAACAAGAATGCAACAAGCGAGTGTAGCTGTGGCTGTAAATGTTTGTTAACGTTACACAAACTAAAGTGTAGAAGCTATATCTTTTCTTTCTACTTCCCGAGACTCAACAGCAATTATTACAGCAGAGGTTTCGTGTGGGTCTTCGACTAGTGCATAAATGTTCTTTTGTCTCAGCTAGTAATTTATATACAATGACTAATGAACATTCGTTAAATTTTTATGTTAAACAGTATATTCAAAGAAGATTAAAATTTATGCATACAACGGATCTTAGTAGTTTACCTTTCTATGATGATATCGTTCTTTAAGATGATTCTCATAAAATAAACAAGGATTAACTTGGACAGTTCTTTCGTAGTAATCGTGTAAAACAATTGTTAGAAAAGCACGAGTCGCTTCTCTTGAAATGAATATCGGTTGTTGGAATAAAGTAATAAAGTAGTCGCGCACAAAAGAAAGAACTGGAGCGATACTCTCCCATTTCTTGTCTTCTTTGCTTTTTTTTCCTTTTTCTGCTTCGCCTTTCCTTTTCTTTTTTTTTCTTTCTTCTCTATGCTCTGAATCCACAAAGAGCGTCCTCCTTTGCTTCTCCCTCTTGTGTCTACCTTTTACTTGCTTCCTTTTAATGTTTCAATTTTTTTTCTCCTGACATTTTTTTCCCTCAGTCTTTTCTTGTGTTTTCCATGTGAAAATTTCTGGCATCTAAACGCGTTTGAACGCGTCTAAAATGAAACATCTGACGCGTCCAGATGCGTTTCTGCGAAGCGTCTAGCTGAGTTTAATAAACGCGTTTAGACATATCAGATATTTCACAATATGTTGGAACGTGTTTACGAATGAAGAGCGCGCCCATTCCCATGTAAAAAAAAAAACAGAAAAATCAACAGATACATGATTTTAATCGATTTCAGGCGTAATTAATTGGTGAAAATCAAACAGTTGTAATTTTTTTTGATTAAATGGAAGATTATAATCAATTTTTCCGCATTATTGATTAGGAATCATTAATTTTTAACCCATTATAATCGTTTTCTTCGCTGGCATTGATTAAAATCGATTTATAGCGAGTATAATCGGTTATCTATGATTTTTTATTCATCAATTAAAATCAATTGTTACCAGCAATCAGTTTTTATCAGTAATTGATGATTTTTTTTCGATTTAAATCAAGCAATACTGATTATAATTGAGCGTAATCGATTAATTTTTCGAATCGATTATAATCATTGGAATAAGAATCATCTAAAATCAAGTCATGCTGATTATAATCCACCGAAATCAATTGTTTTTTCAAATCGATTATAATTATTAGCAGAGGTGGACCATTTAGTTTAACTTAAAATTTAGTTTAGTTTTATTACTTCACACTTAATATTAAGTTCAACTGTTTTATATACGAAAAACTTAACTCACTTAAAATTAGGTTTGAGTGACTGCTTTATGGAAAATTTATTCAATTTCGAGCATTTCATTACTTCTAAAGGGGCATACCACGCCATTGTCCCACCAAACAGAAGAGGGTCCCCGATACCCTCTGATCGGTGTCGAACAACAATAGGTTTTGTCCCTACAACGGATGGGAAAACCACTACTGAAATGTGATTGGTTGATGCCTCTTTCCTATCGATCCATTAGATAAGAAGAAACCGCCTTCTTCGCTATTGTAAGGACAAAGCCTAATATTGGTTGGAGCCGATCATGGGTTATCAGGAGTTCCCTTTTATATGATCTGAACAACAGCACCGTGCGTCCGTTTTGGAGTGATGAAAAATTGGTAATTAAATGCTGTTTAACTCAATCACTTAAACTTGATATTAAGTATTAGGTTTATTATTAACACTTAATTTTTAAAATAAAGTTTTGAGTAGAAGAGCTTAAACCTCATATTAAGCATTAAGTAGCAAAACTTAACTTAATTTCAAGTTAACGGTCCATCCCTAATCGTAAGAATACAGGTCTGACGAAGGAGCATTCCAAGGTGATAAAAAGCTTTTAAGATCAAAATTTGTCTACCAATAGGGCACATATACACCAGAAAAGATCTAAGAGGATATGAGCACAAGTTACAATTTGACTGGAATATCGACATTGTTGTATAATTTTTTCATCAGAACCCTGCTTTTTCAATAAAATCAAAGTTTCCAATTTTCACTAGAAACTGTGTCCATATCAAGACCTCAATCTGACTAGCTTGCCTACAAAGTTTTACACCTTTGGGCAATGTATCTCTCAGATACTAGATTATTATCATGGAGACGCTTCTTTTATAGCTATTGTGTTATGCCTAAATATCTTGAAAAATTCATATCTTCGCGATAAGTTGCCCAATGATTTTAAAACTTTTTAGGCAGGCTAGTATAATTGAAGGATTGATGTGGCAAAGTTTCTCGTGAAATTCGAAACTTTGATATTATCCAAAAAGTACGGTTCTGTTGCGAAATTATACTAAACTGTCGATAACTGAGTGAAATTGCTACTTGTACTTATATTGTTTTCGACTTTTTCTGCTCTATATGTGCCCTATGAGTGGATAAATTTTGAGCTTAAAAGTTTTTTAGCACTTGTGGAGATTCCCTTGTAAGCAATAAGCGTAAAAGTGTAATGATATACTCTTAAGGATATAATTGTGGTATTTATCTTTATTATCTTCATTAAACTCTTGTTGACTTGTCAAATTTAAAAGAATTGACATACAGAAAGAATTCTTTACTTTATTATTGAAAATAAATAGTTCTTCTAAATATTTTTGTTACAACAGCACGATACAATAATAAACATTGATAAATAGTATCTACTGATTATTTGTGTGATCGTTTCTTTAAGTTCTACCAATCAATATTATCGGACTAGTTTGTCGTGCTTGTCGTCGCAGGTGAAAAAATTTTTTCATTCGGGTTCGCAGTTCAGGCAACGAGAAAGCACATATAAAAGGAAAAAGAAGAAGAACAAAATAACTTAAAAAAACTGTACATATAGATAAGTTAGTAATCAGAGAACTTGATAAATAATATATATTACCTAAAATATAGACTACTGCATACGGTAATAGGATTGTAAGATACAGAAGTGAAATTGATAACACTTGAATTGTCATCTTTCGATGCCTTCGCCAGTGAATGGTACGATGCATACGATGTTTTTGAACCAACACACGCACAAGTAAACCAATGCTAAACGCAGCAATTGTTAAAATAGGTACCATCTGCTCAACTATGAAATCATACATCGCAAGTGTATAATTGTCATAAAGACAAGGCCATACACAAAGCATAGAAGATGGAGTAATACGATTTTCACAAGGTGGAAAAAAATAAATCATAAAGTAAAAGATGAACAAACAAAGAACAAGTGAAATGAGAGGAAGATAATGAATAAAAAATCGTTTTTTTCTTGTTGATACCCAGCCATCATAAAAAATAAGAATATGTCTTTCTATTGTCACCCATCCAAAGACCATTGTATGCACGACATAAAGTGACCAGTCTAAGAATCCCCAGATCACACAAAATATAGGTGGCCTTTCCCACGTATCTTTGTGTTGGAAATAATAGAGCATCCAAGGATAAATTGTTACTTCACTAATTAAGCAAATGAAGAGAAGAACAATGATGGCATGATTACTGAGAGATTGACGTAAAGCTCGATCAGATAGAAGATAGTAGAGGACAAATAATGCACACAGCATTGATGGAATAAGAACCAAAGAAAATGACCAAAATCTTACCGTGTCGGATATCATCGTAATGATGAAGTATTGGTTTTGTCGTCAATATATGTATGTAGTCTTTAGTTGATATTTTCAATGAAAAGAAGCTCGTAGAATAAATGTGCAGCGAGCAAGAGATAAAAGATTGTAATGGGAAGAAAAGTTTTTTTTTTCACTGTTTTTCTGATTTTCTGCCTCGATTCGTTGTTGAGGAGACAGACGTGTACACCCTTTTGTTGGTATTCTAACAAGCATAATGAGATTTGTTTTATCAAAAAGAGAAGAAAATAAAAGCCTTCACGAAATGCTGTTTCAGTCGGACGCTCATCTGAATGACAGTTTATATTTTATTAAAAACGACATATCATGATTTTGCGAAATGAGTTTCTCCGTTTTTCTTGTGCGCAATTTAAGTTGATCATTCTTGCCGAGTTTTCCCTTATTTTTATAGAAAATCGTCATTATTCAGATTATATTTAAAACAATGAAACCTAATCATAGTATTTCAGTCTAGCGACACAACTCTCTCTCTCAACATCTGTACCAGAGATGTTGATGGGAAATATCTTTTTAACCCGACCCGCTTCATCACGGGTTGAATAACTTTTTTTCCGACCCGCGGGTTCAACAGTCATCAACCCGTCATGGGTTACCTGCAGATTAATGCAAATTTTATGATAATTTCTTCATTTTTTTTAACATAATTTTTTCTTAACATTTTGTAAAATTGACATATTATAAATCAAGTATTATACATCATTTCTAATCATATACATGCACGCTACAAAATCTGAACAAAGTTTAAGCTAAGAATAAAATTAGAAAAAATTTTTATCTTCATAAATAAGTTGCTACTATCATTCATACAATATTGACTAGCACAGTAGTGACAATAACTCCGCAAAAAAATGAATTATACATCATTCAATTCCATGTTGTAAGACCATAACAATGACATAGGATGCCTATAGACATATCAGAAATATGGTTAGCTACCACAGTAGTGCCAAACTTGAAAGTTGAATTCAAGTTTGACATATATGGATATATATTAAACCGAATCGGCCTCGTCTTCGCAATAAATATTTATTTTCTTTTTCTTTTTTGCTATCAATGTTTTTTCTTGTTCTTTGTCTATTTTCAATCTTTAAATATACACGTTAACTATTCCATTGGCATTTTCTTGTCTAAAACAAACGAAATATAACAATACTTGTTATTGGAAATAAAAGAGTTGAATTGGAGTGCCTGTTAGAATTGGAGTGTGGTGAGGGTGAGGGAAGAATATGAAAAAGCAAAACAAGAAGCCGCAAGCACTGCATCATTTTAGAAATGGTATGACAACTTCATCACAGAAAGAAAAACTGAATCAAATGTGAAACTGGCAGTTTCAATCATGAACATTTGTTTTTTTTATTGGTGTTTAAAGTTACATAAACTATTCAGAACGAGATAAGAACATTCACGTTCAATAAAGTATTTGAGAGAAGGCTCTTCTAAGATGAAAATTAATAATGATTATTGAGCATTTACTGAGCTTTTTGAAAGCCATCTTAAAATGGCCAAATCAATCGAGAACAGATCGACCTATATCTCTTAAATCTAAACGAAAGACAAATCAGTATGTTAATCTCTATACTGTTACCTTTCAGCTATCAATCTTGTTGTCGAAGTAATTTGAAATGTACTTGTTTGTATAAAGGGATGTGAAGTTTTTAATTTCACTGACACGTTTAGTGTTTGTTTATTAATTTTTAGCATTTACTAGGGTTCTGCATTAGAAATTTGATAAGCATGAGACAAAACAAAAGCACTGAAGAAGAAAAAAGTACAAAATACAAAATATAATTGTTTCAAGTCGCTTAAATTTACATAAAAGGACGGTAGATACAAACAGTAGTTTTAATGGTTAAAATCGAGCAAATGTTCTAGTTATAAAAGAAGGATGGTAGATAATAATATTAATTCCATATACAGTGCGGGTCAAAAGTCTGGCTACACCTTTTGTTTTGAGTCATATATTAAACCTACACAACACTAATTTACTTTGTCTATATGTCTGTATAAAAGAGGTCGAGTACTATCCATAGATGTGGTTCTTTTCAATCAAACATAAGATAACTTTTATTTATTTCAATAGTTTTATTCTACATAAAACAATTTATTTTACAAAAGCATTGACAATAATCAATATTTATACATGTGGAAAATAGTCTTTTGCATATTCAGGAAGTCGATGACCATTGAGACATAAGGAATCCAATTTTGCACAATTGATTCGAGTTGAATCTCTTGTAAAATTGTGTGTCACTCTTTCCAGTTGCTCATAATCAATGTTAATATGAACAGAATTATCCGGTAAACATATATTCGTATCAACTAGAAATTCTTCAATATAATCATCATGAGCATTATAAAGTGTAAGATTAATAAGATAGGGATATTTAATGATCGAAAAATCTTGATTGTCATTCTTTGATTCTCTGCATAATTTGTTATTTTGTGGTTTCGAATTTTTTATAGATACTATTTTAATAAATGGAAATGATTTTTGAATTCGAAGAAAAAATTCATGTTCAAAAGAACGTTCATCATATAGTGATACTTCCTGAACATATTTAAATAATCCACCTGGAAAATTATTTGTTATAGTATAGTAATATTTTAAGTTGTAAGGATATGAATAGATATGACATAAACTAAATTGTTTTTCTTGGAAATAATCAATATAAGAAGAAACTTGATCATTTTTAAAATCTCTGAACGTATGTTGAATATATTCTTTTGATGGTAGATAAATTTGTTTAGGACGATAATGGTTTGAGCAAATATAAAATTCAAATATCCTTAATCGCGGCATATAACTAACAATATTCTGATTCAATTCATTTCCATCAACAAATGTATTTTTGACAAAAGTAGCAAGATTCAAAGTGAGTTTTTCTAAATTCGACATTCGTTGTAGATATGGTACAATTAATTCATCATAAACATTTATTATGTCTTGACAGTATAATGAAAAACATCTTATATTAGGTATAGATAATTTTTCCTATAAGAATCATATAATGAATTTGTTCGAAAGAATTAAATATTAACCAAAATAATCTACCTGATTATTGTTTGGAAAATCCGAAGGAAAAATGTTCGTAACATCAACATGAAGTGTGTGAAGTTTATTGAAACGTCCATCAAGTATATAAAGACAGCCGGAGAACGACATTAAACGGATATGCAATTCTAAGAGAGTTGAAGAGTTAATACTCGGATATGGATTGATAAATGATAATCCGCAATGCACAATTGAAGATGCACAAAAATTTAAATATTGTAAATTGGAGAACGTAGTAAAGATATGTGCTAATATTCGCGAATTCTTATCTTCTGAAGTTACTTTTCCATATGTAGTACGATTGATTACAAGCGCTAAGATTTGGTTTTTATCTATAGAAGTCAAGGAAGATTCGTCTAAATAAAAAAAATAGAAAGTCAATGAAACACATATTTATTCGATTTTATATTGATCATAAAATCAATCTATCTATATATTTTTTCTTTTTAACAATTTTCTAACGTATGTATGTGATCTTTTTTTCCTGTGAAAGTCTTTAATAAATTATATTGTATCATCGATGTGGTATTTTATTTCAGTCATTTATTTTATTCTACACTATCTTCTTTCAGAATCAATGTTTAAAATTTCAATTAAAGACACTTGAGAATTTTATTCAAATATTACTTTAATTATAAGAGATTCCTTGTATTGTTTTTCTACTACTAATTTTCTTCGAATTTATGTTCATCAGTTTGTATCAGTATAGTTGAGAACGATTTTATAAAAAAAAAAGATATATAATGATCGAAATCTATTTGTATATATTTTTCATTAACTAATTATTGAAAGAGTTGAAGAAAATATCGTTACCAATAAAGAGAGACAGAGCTATTTTTATCTCAATACCATATAAACCAAGTCCGTATAAATTCGGATAATTTGTAGCATGAAGAATACGTTCCATACTTGATGATTCAAGATTAAGCCATTTGATTTTATGATGAATTTCAGGTAAGATTTGTAAACAAAATCGATCAAGTATTGCATCAGGTAATGGATTGGTGCAATGATCTGAGACACGTCTCATCAACGTTAAGCGATTTGTAAAAATTGAATCATGTGCAACTGCATTGAGTCGTTTGTTAACACCTTTTAGAGAGTACAATACTTCGACATTGCACAATTTTTTCAAAATAATCATAAGAATCTCATCAGGTAAATCATTTAATTCAACCGATGAATGTTCCATATTTATTTTCATTTATCTATTCTTTTCGTTTATAAATATGAATATACGTATATATGCTCATTTTCTCTATTTGATCGTGTCCTCATTCATCACCAATGAAAACAATGAAGCATTTTTCTATAAACACAATTCACAACGAATGAACAGATGAAAAAATGGCATTGTTTCTCTTTCTTTCTTTTTTCTCCTATATATGAATGAACACTGACAATTGATAATATCTCTTTATATCTATATCTAAATATTGCTTTATTTTAAGAAATGCACTGTGCGATGTATCATCACGCTTCGTTGTCATGCACGAGTTTCGTCCCTGTGACAGTAAAAGGAAAAACCATATATATAGTGCTATAATGATAATTAGACATATGGACAGAGAAAAGTCAAGTGTCAATAATAAGTAGAAAGAACATTATTAATAGTAAAATCACATTGACATTATGAAGCATAACTGTAAACAAAGGAAATATAGAAAAAAAAAGAAAATACCAGAGAATAAGAAACAGAAAAGGATTTAGTTTATAACTTGAAGTTGATCAAAATCGAAATTAGGAAAAGGCTACCTATACCGAAAGTAGAGTTCTGCGGTTGCTAAAATTACCTGGAACCGGGAATGCGGTTCCGGTTCGAGATAATGAAAAAGAAAAAGAAAACGGTTCCAGTTAGGTTTTCAAAAAATCATGTGAAACCAGAACCGCTAAATCACAAGATATATGCGGAAATTTTGAAACTAATTTTGCGAAATCTTAACTCATGAATTGTTGCCATTATAGGCGGCTCACACTTTATTACTTAGATGAAACAATATTCCACATACGTGCTAGAATTTTTAATCTAAAAACTTAAAGAATCAAGATTTCTCAAAATAGGTTTTACTTTTTTTCATTTATCTATGTCTGTACAGTTCCAATTCGGTTCTTGGTTCCAGTTTTTTTTTGGAACCGCCGAACTCTAAAAAGTCTACACTAAAATTGTACGTGGATATTGGTCCAATAGACATATTGTGCTTGATGATATAAAACCACTAAATTATGGCTATTCACAAATCAATTCATGTCTTTTTCTTTACCTATCTTATGG